AAACGAGATATAGAAAATAGATAAGGATACAAAAAGAGCGATCTCACTGAAATTGAAGGTTTGGTGAGTGTGAAACAATGTTCAGCTACTCACGCATGCCCAAAACGGTGTGACGCCTGACGCGTCACAAAATCTCACTTCAACCCAGTCACCCCTAAATCGGGTACCTCTGTAAAAAAAAAACCTTACTGCTCATTTTGGGGACTTACATGTGAAACTGGTCGACCTTTGCGCGGGAAACTGGGTTCAAATTCTTCGATCCAAAATACAGTGTAGTCACATTGAATCTCTGTTCAGACTGGTTGTCCCCGCTGCCTCGTAATGCGCAGCGCATGTGAGAGTAAGCGATGCTTCCTTCCCATCATACCTCTTTTTATCATGTTCAGAAGCCGAGTGAGGATTTGTAACGAGTAAGGGACAGTTACGCGAAACAATTTTTAGCCCATGAAATCGGAAAACTAAATCTGGCAACTTTGCGCGCCTTGTTCTTAGTGATATTGCAAGTCATTAGGAATAAGCTTGAGCAAAGGTGTTTTAGAGCCACTTACGTCAACCGGAAGTAAAACCTTTCTTCTTTGTATATGCATTGACGTTACCAAGTGTCTTTACTCTCTCAGAGACGATTTACCTTATACTACTACATGAGAAATTTCTGAAATTTGACTGGCTTAGAGCAGTGGTATTTCAGCTTAATTTGAAATACCTACATGTGAAAATTACAAACCTTTTGTGAGTAGTAGTATAAACAAATAATAGCATGATTCGTACGTGATATTTGGCATAAATACCACTTGTGGTATTTCAAAATTGTCTCAAATTTCACTCGCATAACGACTCGTGAAATTTGGTATTTAATAACAATTCGTGGTATTTATGCTAAATATCACTAAAAATCATGCTATTACCTATACTAATTTGGGGCAAAGCATTGCCAAAGTATGCTAGAAGTCCACTTCGGCACTAAGTTACCATTTTTCCAAACAAGCGAGTGGCGTAGAGGCGTGCCCTGAGCGTGATGTAAGAACAGCCTCCCAAAAGAAAAATCAAAATACTAGAACAACCGTTTCGCTTTTTAGTCTCGCTTGCGTAAGAAGCGAGACTCATAATCTGCAACGCGTTTTTCGTCGTGTTTAGGACACAAAAGGGGCTCATTGTGCCAGGCGTTCCTTGTGGAGACCGTGGAAACTGGGGATAAGAATCACTGCGTCATCGAAGCCACGCATGTTTTGCGAAGAAAGCTTTGGAAAGATTAAATTTAGAGCTTTCCGGAACGTGTCGGTCCACGAATTCTATCGCTTGAAAGCGTTGATTACTACACTACTGAGTGGTCGAAAAAAAATAAGAATCTTCATTAGCAAAACTGCGATGGTCGGGTGTTGTAAATTTTCAATGCATGCAAATGGTTCTTGTGATGAGCATGCGGTTTATTTTCGGTGATGATTAAAATGACGTGCCATGTTAATCACTTTTTTGATCTCTGGCAGTGATGTAATTTCTCTGGAATCGAGGCCCTTGAATTTTCAAGTAGTTATACACGTGTATTGTCTGCGACCACAGACGTATTTCCGGTCTTCACTAACACACGTACTAAATCAATTCAGAAACAAATAAAAAGTATCGACGTCGATAAAGTAGGAAGTAAAAAACCTTTAGCGAGTAAATCCTGTTTCGTGTAGAATAAATTGCCTCCTCATTTCTCGATCTAATCTCCAAGCAAGCGAGACCGACTTGCGCTGTAAGAGCGTTCTTGTGTTGTTTTAGGTCTGGCTGTTTTTCGAAAAAGGTGGAAACCGGCTTGGATTCGTGCCTTTACTAAATTTCACTGCCTCACCACTATACTTCTGCTTCGGCTACAAGAAAATGGCGTTGGAGTTTTGGGTTCAGTCGTGCTTTTTATCTAAGAGTAGACTACGGGTAGGCCTTTATTATCCTCAGGGGTAGAAAAGCAATAGAAAATTCTGCCAAGTTTTTTTCACAGTTAAAGTTGACATCTTTAACCCGGGGTAGAATGTTTGAGGGTTTTTTGCGGCTTCTCGGTTTTCGCCTTTTTCTTAGCAAGCACCTACAACCAACCATTTACTTGTAGATTTTTATTAGGGTTTTGCAGTTTTCAGCAGATCCAATATGCCCCTCCTTAACTGGCAGAAACGAAGCCTTGCAGCCCTGATTTTAGACTGCGAGCAGTCTCTTTTTTCTTTTGAGTCACAGTAGATCGAGAACACGCATGGTGGGCCAGCAGCAAAGCCGTTAATTTGCATACTGTTACTGTTTCTCTGGCCTGTGTGCAGACACCCCCTCCCCTCAGAAAAATCCCCAATATTTTTTTGGGGGAGGGGGCATCTGTACACAGGCTTGCGCATAGCTCTGAGAAGAGGGATGACCCTTTGCGGTCCACCCCAATTTGAAATCTGGGCCGGCGCTGTATATCATTATACATTTCTGGGAAACTGCCCACCTACCTCTCCCCTAAGCTAACATTTTGCCTAAGTGAGAAGTAATGTTAATTAGGGGGGGAG